ACCAGTGCCGTCTCTGTCTTGCATGCTTCCGAGATTCTGGGGAGTTACTATTTGGGGATGTCAAGTTCCTGATGGCAGAGGTGGCAGGGTCAAATAAAACCAGGCTCGGTGAAATTTTAGTTTCCCTTATGGCTTTTAATAATGGCACAGCGTAGACTTTTCTTGTAAAAATGTCTAGAAACCCGAACAAAAGAGATGTAAGATTGTTACTGTTTTTAAAAATAGCCCCCCCCCCCCAAAAAAGGGCCTCAAAGGTAATAGTTTACAGAGAAATGAGCCTTGGTTGCTAGAGGCCACTGAGGGGAGGATGGAAGCAGATCTTAATGTTCCCTGTTTCACAGCTCCTGTCCATGGGTGGGTAACAGACAGGCATCACTCTCATGGACACTGGAGTTTTTCCACAGACAAAAAGAAATTGTCTTAGAAAGTATGAAAATAAGTGGAATATCAAAAAGGAGAGAGGGTCTCGATTCTGAAATTCATTTCAAGTAAGAGATACTAAACAGAACCTACAGATGTGGTTCTTCTAGGTTTTATGGTATCACTCCTGCTCAGCTGCCCAAAGCTTTCTCTGCAGCTTGGTTTCATTCAATGCCCTAAAAATTTGATGTAATGAAATGTAAGACTCATTCGCTTTGCTAATATGCCATGTTCTCATCTCTCCCAAATAATATTTTAATATTATAGGAACATGCCGCTCCTTTTCCTCTTCATTTCTGTAAGAAACACTCCCAAATTCTATATTTCTAAGTTTGCAGCATGTGGGCCCCTGGCCAACTAGACCTGTAAGGCTTTCTGTAGCTCTTCTATTGTTTGTTTATATTTATCTACCTGAGACTGAAATTGTTTTGGAGGCATAGCTAGCCTCTCTTCTATATAGATGAGTTACAGGGATTTTCTAGCTTCCACCTCTTTGAGCTTAATACTTGTGTTGATGTTTCAAAATGTCTTCCCTGACTTGGGAGTTCAGACGTGTTTTCTTTTGGGTGACAACTAGGTCTCTGAAAGATAGGTAGCGAGCACTGTTTTTTAGAACTCAATTCTTATACAGGCATACCTTGTTTTGTTGTCCTTTATTGCACTTCTGCAAATACTGCGTTTTTTGCAAATTAAAGGTTTGTGGGAATGCTGCATCTAGCAAGTCTGTTGGTGCCATTTTCTCAACAGCACTGTTCACTTCATGTCTCTGTGTCACACTTTGGTAATTCTCGCGATATTTCAGACTTTTTCATTATTATATTTGTTATGTGATCAGTGATCTTTGATGTTACTGCCATGACTCACTGAAGGCTCAGATGATGGTTAGTGTTCTTTTAGCAATAAAATATTCTTTAATTAAGGTCTATACACTGCTTTTTTTTTTTTAAAGAAAAACACATAGTGCCATTGCACACTAAATAGACTGCAGTGTAGTGTAAACATAATTTTTATATGCACTGGGAAACCAAAAGATTTGTGTGACTCGCTTTATTGAGACATTTGCTTTATTGCAGTGGTCTGGAACTGAACCCACGATATCTCTCATGTATGCCTGTATATATGTGCCAGGAAAGGATTCATCTTATTGAAAGTTACCCGGTACGGTTGTCTGTTGGTATCTGTGGGGGATTGGTTCCAGGACGCTATCGGATACCAAAATCCACCAATGCTCAAGTACCTTATATAAAATGACATTGTATATTACTTAGGCACATCCTCTTATATTCTTTAAATCATCGCTAGATTATTTATAATATCTAATACTATGTAGATAGTTACTGGTACATGACAAATTCAAGTTTCACTTTTTGGAACTCCCTGAAAAATAAAAAAAATTTAAAAAATATTTTCCATTTGTGGTTAGTTGAATCCACAGATGCAGAACTGGCAGATATGGGGGTCCAACTGTAACTTTCAATATGAATCCTTTGTAAAGTGAATAGAGCATCTGCTGAGTTCTAAGATGTCCATGTCCCCCCCATGTTTAAATCAGTATGCATCAACCAGTCAGGGGTTCGTGTAATGTGCCTAACTCCCTCCCCAAGAAGTTCTTTTTATAAAATAGTACCTTACAGTTAAGGAAGTTTACTTAATGGCTACTATGGATTAGGAACTGTGATGAGCACTTTTTACAACGATTCACCGATTTAATTCTCAGGGTTGGAAGTCCATGTGAGCTTTTTATTCTTCCTGATAATTTGTGGCTCTGAGTTTGGTTGCTTGAGGCTTGTGGGGAAACCGTTGCCCTTGGGTCTGTACAGAACCAACACAGATGCAGCGTCCTTGGATGCCCAGAACAGACATAAGAGGTACCAGACATAAGAGGTAACACCCTTAGCAGGCCTGTCGCCTCTACCCCATGGTGTGGAATCTGTGTGTAATGAATGTTTTCTTTTTCTAAAACCAGGATGGAGCTTGGAACAGCAAATATTTAATCAGAGCAGATTCCCCTCACTAAATTTTGCCAGCTTGTTCAACTCGGAGATTCTTTGCCTAAAAATATTCACCACGTACTGAAGGCTAAATGACTAAGTCACCCACAGAGCATAAAGCAGGTCTTAGAATTTGGAGCAGGGGGTTGTTTGCCTACTGATATTTTGGATGAAGTATGCCGTGCCACATACTCACCCTTTGATGAGCCTAAGGGCCTCTGGCGGTAAAGAAGGGTTTTAGGGGAGGGGGGATTTGTGGGGGATGGTAGGGTAGGCGTTCAGGCCCGCTGGCAGTAACGTTCTTCTTGAACTGATCTGAGAAGAAGAGAGAAGTGGGTGTGGGGTAGGGAGGTGGAGAAGAGTCTAATCGGGAAAGATGGGCTGGTGTAGACGAAAGGGATGCTGCCATGCACGTGTTACAGTGGAAGTGAGGGCGGCGGTGTGCAGCAGGGATTAGCTTTGCTGATAGAGTGGGACACGGAAGGGAGGGAAAATAAGAGTTCCATGAATATTACAGAACAGTAAATCCCATATGAACAAAACAGGAGTAAGTGAGGTGGCATGGCGCCTCCTTTTACAGATTTAATGCAATGTTACCTCCTTATTATCGGTACCACTCACACGGGTGCAGCTTTTGTTTCCCGCTAGAGGCTCTGAAACGTTCACTTGTGTGGCATCCCCCATCACTTCAGTACATGAGGATCTTAACCATGTGAGTTTGCTCACTCACTGTGAAACACTGCTAAAAGTTCAAGGTCCTTCAGAAGGCCCTTCCTGACTTCTCATTACCTGTGTGAGGGCACTTCCTATGTCCTGTATCCTTATCGCTATACTGAAGCAATTTCCAGACCAGCCGTTCTCACTGGGATGCTCCAAGGCGCTTCCAACCCTATATGTTAAAAGCAAACTCCCGATCTGTTCTTTTCAGTTCCACTCTTCGTCCTCTGCCAACCCTACTCCCCCACCACCCCAAACAGCTTTAATAAAGCAGAAGAGAACCCTCCCCCCATCCTTCACAGTCCTGCCAACTATGACTTCTAGCCACAGAATTTCTGTTTTCTCTGCTAGTAGTTTACCTTCTTCGATTGTTATCTGGACTGTTAATCCAGTGGCCCTCTAATTTATCCTCCTGCCTCAAACCTGTCCCTTTCCCATATGTTCTCCACTTTGCAGCCAAAGGCATTCCAGCTTAAATAGTTGTTTCTCTTACAGGGTGGGAGCCAGAATCCTTAGCATGGCATACGCCTGGCCCTTCCCACCAAGACCCTACCTTCTTTTGAGCTTCATCTCTTGCCAAGGAATGCTTTTTTAGCATAAATATGTCCCATGCAATATTTAGTCTAAGTATGTCCCAAGTGTTGTTATATTAAAAAATTAGTTATTATTCATCCAAAATTTAAATTTAACTAGACATTCTGTATTTTATTAGGCTTAGTATTTTACCTGGCTTGGTCAAAAATATAGTAGTGTCTCTCTTTATGCATTTGTTTCTTGCTCTGATGAAAAAGAAATTGGAGTTGCAGGAACTTGCTGACTGCAAAATATTTGGCATTTCTTTATGAAATCTTTTTTTTTTTGGCTGTGCCACGTAGCATGCAGGATCTTAGTTCCTCGACCAGGGATCAGACCCGTGTCCCCTGCAGTGGAAGTGCGGAGCATAACCCCTGGACTGCCAGGGAAGTCCCATGAAATCTTTTATAGCTATTCATGGAAATGGAGCTATCCTAATAGGGTCTCAGTATTAATGCTTTTTTGCCTGAGACACTAACTTTGAAAAACATGCTTTGTTTGGAAAAGCATGTTTGAGATTCAGGTGTAGTAATGATTGCAGCTCTTTTCTGAGGGAGGGAACCCTCGTGGAGGAAGATGAACTGCAATTAAGTGTAGTCTTCCTTCTGTTTATGGAAATCTTAATAACCTCCACTGTTGTTGTTTCTTTAGGATATTTTCTGGAGAAGAAACTAAATTATCATGCTTCAGTTTTACCTCTAGTTTTATGTCATTTTTTTCTGGTTTTTTTTTTTTTTTTTTTTGTCTTGTGAGTAAAGGCTGTAATGTGATTTTCAACTTATTTTCTGTTCTAAAGAGTGTTCAGCTTTGATGTTGGTAAGAAGCAAGTTTTTTTTTTAACACTGACTAAATCTTTATTTTCTGACATTAATAGAAACGTGCTGCTTGTTCTCATAATGTAAGATTTTAATTATTCTGATAATGTAAGTGGGTTTTACATTAAAACCTTCTAATTGTACTAGAATAAACCATTATCAACATTTATCAGAAGATTAAGGTCCGTAAATAAAGAGCTCCAGTGGATCAAGAAGAAAAATCCAATTAACTGCCAATTCACAGAGAATAATACAAATGGCCATAAATTTAAGAAAAGATGTGAACCTTACTAGTAATGAGGAAGACGGACATTAAAACAAGATAGTGGTTTTTAACCTTTAAATTTGGTGCTCAGGTTGGGAATGTGAGCAGTCTCAAATGTTACTGGTAGGATGTAAAGGCAGCCTTTAAGAGTGTGATTTGACTTTATCTCTTGAAATTTTAAAATGTAGATACTACTTGACCCACTGATTTCATTTCCAGGTCAGGAGCTTATCCTATATAAATAATGGCATATGTGCAATTATTCTCCATATTTATGCATTTCAAGAAAAATATACCCGTGGGACTTCCCTGGTGGTCCAGTGGGTAAGTCTCCAAGCTCCCAATGCAGGAGGCCTGGGTTCGATCCCTGGTTGGGGAACTAGATCCCACAGGCCGCAACTAAGACATCTGCAGGCCGCAATGATAGATTCCGCATGATAGATTCCGCATGCCGCGACTAAGACTGGCGCAGCAAAAATGAATGGATGAATAAAGAAAAATATACCTGTGTATTATAAGTATCATTTTTTAAAACTCTGATGCTGGATTTCAGAATTCCTTAGGAGTAAGTGGAGGTGGAGTGGTATGTTATGAGCACTGTATTTTTAAGAAAGATTCAGAGAAAGAAAGAGGTCTTTGGAAGAGAGACTTTCTTCTCAGTCTTAATTTCTCTCTGCACGTGGTGTATTTCACATTGGATTTTGACTTGTAGGCTGAAAGAACACTCCATTGGCAGCCCTTCTTTTCCTAGTTTTAACAAATTACTTTTTCTCTTTTTCTTCAGATCCCTTTTTTCGAAGATATCTGTAAAGGCATTAAAGCTGGCGACACCTGTGAGAAGCTGGTGGGGTATTCTGCGGTATATAGAGTCTGTTTTGGAATGGCCTGTTTCTTCTTTATATTCTGCCTCCTGACCTTGAAAATCAACAACAGTAAAAGTTGTAGAGCCTATATTCACAATGGGTGAGTCTTTGTGGGGATCCTTTCACCCTTCCTTATATTCAGAGCAACATTCCAGGACCTCTTCCACTCTTCAGACCCTCTGACTGCTTTCCTCTAGTTGAAATTGTTGACACCGATTTTAGGGAAGGTGGAACTTATACTTACCACACAGTGGCCTAAGAACTGGAATCCTATTTGTAACACCTGGTACCATAATGAGAAATGCATTGGAGATAAGAGTTTATTTCTTGTACCAAGAGCTTCCCCCAGGTCACTTCCACCCCTGCAAGAAAATGGTCTTGCACAATCAGAGGCCACACCGAAGTCTGTCTAATTATGGGAAAAGGCAGTCTCCAGTCACTTAATTACTTCCCCTCCATTTGGAGAGAATAGAATCATGAATTGACACGCTTACCTCTAAGAGGTCTTTTGTCCTTCCTTGAATATCATTTAAATACATTTCCTTTTTTTTTTTTTTTTTTTTCCTTCCCCTCCAGCTTTTGGTTCTTTAAACTTCTGCTGTTGGGGGCCATGTGCTCAGGAGCCTTCTTCATTCCAGATCAGGAGACCTTTCTAAATGGTACAAATGGGGTGTTGGGGGTATCTATTTATTGTGTTTTTATTCACTTTGTAAAACTGTTGGAAAGCGTAGTCCAGGGTGCCTTTGATATTGTAGGTTACTAACTTTCTTGTAGCTTAAAAAAAAAAAAATCCTGCCTCAGCTGCCCACACTTCACCCACCCTCTGTACTTCCTCCCTCCCCACCCCACACCTCCACTTCTCCCTCCCTGGGAGGGGTGAGAGGACCTTTAGTTACTCTACCGGTTGAAGAATTGAAATTAAGGTTATTAGCCTGAAGGGAAAATGAAGCACTTAAAACTTGTTTGAAAACTAGTTTAGCATGTCAGCGTGACCCAGGGAGACCTTGTTCTTTCTGAGCACTGCACACAAACCCAAGGCTTCTCAGCAGCTTTAAATCTGCTGTAGCTATAATGGGGTAAGAAAGGCATCCTCCAGACCATTTCTAAACTTGCCTTATGTGAAACTGTACAACACTGAATTATATCCCTTATCGATAGAACCTACCAAAGTTATTTAATATAATGCATTCAATCATAGCTGAAACAAGGGGCCCTTCTTCATATGAGGTAGGGAGGAGAAAAAAAGCCTGAGTTTTAGAGGTTCAGAACATTGTTCAGACCCAAATGGATTCACTTTCCTTATTAAGATAGTAAAAATACTCACATTGTGAATAAGGAACAGCCATAGTCCCTCAAATAGCCACATATCAGGCTCCAGCTAGTTTCTTAGGGTCATACCGGTTTTATGTACTCCTTAAGGAAGTTGTATCCAAGTTGTCTTTTTACCTAAAATACTGGTAACTAGTTTTCAATTCTCCACAGAGGTCCTTGTATATATTAGAATAATATACTTAGAACGGGACGGGACCTAGCTGTCCATCCTCTAGCACAGCTCAGTTGTATTATAGACAACCCAGAGATGTGATGCGCTTATCCAAGGTTTGGGCTTCTCTGTGGCCGAGCCAGAAGTAGAACCTGAGTCCGTGGCCTCCCATGAGAACCTCATTTCCTCACTGGACATTGGTGGGTCTCTGTCCGGTGAAATTTGAATCCTTGGTTTTTCTGGCATTGTGTGATTTTACTTTTAAATTGAGGGTCATTGTTGATTTTATGAATTACTGCATCTGTTAGGATATCTGGCATTTATTTATAGCATGGAGGTGAAGCTTGGATGCTGTGGTGCCAGATTGCCTGTGTTCACATCCCAGCCCCACCCTTTACTGGCTATGGGACCTTGTCAGCTTACGTGTAGACTCTCAGTTTTTCTCATCTGTAAAGTGGGTGTAATAGTACTGCCTACCTTGTAGGGTTGTGTGGGAATTAAATGTGTTACTGGTACAGGGAGCCTGCGGTAAAAATTAACTGTAGTCATTACTCTCTCATTTGAGTTAAACACTTGGGACAGTCACCTCATCTCCTTTCGGACGGTCTTCTTTTGCAGCCTGGCGCTATGTGGGAGCCGTCGGAGGCTTCCTGTTCATAGGCATCCAGCTCCTCTTACTTGTGGAGTTTGCACATAAATGGAACAAGAACTGGTATGTGCTTTTATGGAGAGCTTCCACGTGAACTCACTCTCTGACTCAGAGAAAGTGCCCATGATGACAGGAGCTCTACCCCGAGTTGTATTGCCAGCGATTAGCAGCCTGCTTAGACCAAAAACAATTTTTGCTTGTTCTCTCCCTTCCCTCCTGCTCTTTGGACCTCTTCATTTACTCCTCTCCCATACTGTTTTTCTCGCCTTTCTACTTTTCCTTTTTCCACTTCATTGCTTTTCACTCTTTGGCTCTCTTTTCCCTGCACCCTCTCATTTGGGCTCTAAGACTTAGCCACACTCAACCCCAGTGCTGGTACCTCGCAGCCCCTGCTCTGTGCTTGCGTTAGTGGCTGAAAATTTGGGTAGGCTTTATCTTAGGCTCCCATCCTTAGGAGATTAAAAAGAAAAAAGTACTTTGGAGCTGGAGGTTCACTTTCTGCAAAGAATATTCAATGAAATAGTGCTTTTCTTTTTAGAAAAATTTTTGTTCCTTCTCAACTGCCTAAGAGGGGAAGGACCCCTTCATTAGGAAGATCTGTTGTTCTACCTTAGAAAGCCTTCCCGACTTTAAAAAAAATACAGACCCTTTTTAAGTGCCTTGAAAATAGAATTCACATCCTAGAATACATGGGGAATGCCAAACTATTAATGACTCGTTTTATTTCTTGCTGAGCCACATTGAGGAAGTGACAGCTAGACAGGGGTGCAGCTCCTTCGGTGCTAAGGCCAGGTTGACTCTCTTTGTGACTCTGGGCAAAGCACTGAAGTGCTCTGTCTTACTTTACTTATAAAATATGAATGAAAATAACTGCCTGCTATATCCAGTAAGGCTTTTGTAATTTTGTAGGTTTTGTAGGCATCATGTTATTTTGTACTGTTTGGGCGGGTATCTGAAAGTTCTATATGAATGTGAATTTTATTTTTTATTTTGGACAAAACAAAATATACTGTCCAAATTCTCTCAAAACACTTTTCATCCTGATTATATTCCTCAGCTTGGTAGTAGTAGTAGTTGTTTTGTTTTGGTCTTGTTTTTTTGAAAATCGAATCATGAGATGCCTGAGTGAAAAGATAGGTTAAACATTTTATTATTTGGTAAATATTGGAGTAAGCACCCAAATACCAATTTAAAAATGTTTGCAGCACATTGAATAGTCATACAGGTAGCGCTACAGGCGTGTTTTGGTATTTTTTCAAATCTTTATTTTTGGGGAGGGGGGGCGGGTGCCGCGCTGCGCGGCATGTGGGAATCTTAGCTCCCTGACCCGGCATTGAGCCCGTGCCCCGTGCATTGGAAGTGCAGAGCCGTAACCACTGGACTGCGGTGGAACTCCCCTCAAATCTTAATCTGTATGATAATACAGATTTCTAGGTCTGAGTACATATATAAGTTTATTATTGCATGCTGTCCTGCATTTTGAGTCATCCCTGAAACCTAGTATGTTTGGGGCTTCTACTAGATCTTGTTTCGAGGCAGCAAAGTTTTCCTAAAGATAAGTCAAATGGTTGACTATAGTTTTATGTGACCCTGTTCTCAGTTATACAGAAGAAATATGCACAATAAGTTGGAAATGCATTTTAATTGATTAAATACCATTCTTTCCATCGATGATAATTCTTTTTTCCGGGGGGGGTGGCGGGGGCGCTGTACCATGTGGCTTGTGGAATTTTAGTTCCCAGACCAGGGATCAAACCTGGGCCCTTGGCAGTAAAAACGTGGAATCCTAACCACTGGACTACCAAGGAATTCCCTGGTGATTCTTATGTACTTTCATTCTGAATTTTTTATTTGACAAAAGGAATGCATCACACTTTTTTCTAAAATTTTTACAAATAAACTTCGAGTAAGGAACTTATGATAAAATACTAATATCTTTGATACTGAGTGCCTGACTTGCCCATTAAATAGTATGCTTCCTTGAGAATACTTGTGCTTTTTTACTCTGACTTTAATGTTTTGATTGATTCTGAAGCCATTTTCTGGGACTAATTATCGATGCCAAGTTTTAACGGGCATTTTGGAAGAGTTTGATTGCTTTAAAAACTTTCCAGAAACGACCCAATAGGAATGGCTTAAGAGCTTTGCAACGATTGATGTTGCTGTTGTCCCGGCTTTGAGGCCAGTGTCCCAATAAAATCTCTTTTGTCCACATACTCACAGCTGGTTGGTCTGCCTAAAATTAGGATTAAGCTAGGAAATGTACAAGTATTGTTATTTTTATGTAAATTCATCTAATTTAGTTTAAGAGTTTGTCCGAGCAAAAATTGATTCAAATTGGGCGCCCTCCAATCTGGCAGATAGAAAGGAGCTCCGAGGAGCTGTACAAAATAAAAGACGTTTATAGGCAGCAGAGAGCAGGGACAAGGAAGTTATATTAGGCAAAAAAGCAGGTTGGTTATTGTGAGGTAACTTCCCTTCAGGGGATGGCAGGCATCTACCAGTTAGGTGACATAACTAGTGCTAATCAGGGGATTCCTGATTGACTGGTTTAAGATTCCGTTTCTGGGAGAGCTGAAACTCTAAGTTGTGTTGGTTTGGTGGTGTGGGGCTTAGCATAAGTGACTCCTTTCTAAGCCTGTTGTCTTGTTTTTGACACTTTCTAGGTCAATTTTTATAATTCGAAGCATCAGTTCTATATTAAAACTGAAATAACAAAAAGTAAACAGTATATTTAGGTGTTTCTTTTTTGGAGGGAGTTGCATTTTTTTTAAATTAATTAATTAATTATTTTTTTTTTTGGCTGCATTGGGTCTTTAATTGCGGTGAGCGGGGGCTACTCTTCGTTGCGGTGCGCGGGCTTCTCATTGCGGTGGCTTCTCTTGTTGGGGAGCACGGGCTCTGGGCACACAGGCTCAGCAGTTGTGGCTCACGGACTCTACAGCATAGGCTCAGTAGTTGTGGCGCACGGGCTTAGTTGCTCCGCGGCACGTGGGATCTTCCCGGACCAGGACTTGAACCCACGTCCCCTGCATTGGCAGGCAGATTCTTAACTACTGCGCCACCAGGGAAGCCCTATTTAGGTGTTTCTAATAAAGACCCATTTTCTAGATTTTATTTATTTATTTATTAGATTTTATGGATTTTAAATTAATGTTGTTGTTGGGTTTTGTTTACTCCTAACCCTCACCTGAAGCCTGAGCCCAGACATCTTTCCTAACCTGATAACCTGCTTGCTTCTGTGTCCATACACTCCTCCCCACTGCCCGGTCTTTTTCTAATCTCCATCCAAGGGCTTCTTATTGAGCACTGATTCAAAATTTTTGGACTATTAACTGTGTGCCGGGCACCAAGAGTATAAAGATAATAAGTCACAGCACTTATTTGGGGTGTCTATAGAAGGTGTCATTGGGAGGACCAACTGAGTCTGGAGCAGCAGGAATCACAGCCACTCTGCCACCATTGCTGCCTCCAGTTATCCTCTGACAGTTGGCAGTCCTTGCACCAATATTCATTAAGCACCTATTATTTGCCGGGCACTCGACAGTAGGAGAGCAGCAGTGAATGCAACCGTGTCCTGCTCTGTGGAGCTTACATTCTCCTGGGGAGAGGGGCGATAGATAATCAACTTATAATCAAGCAAATACGTACTAGGTTTAATGGTGAAAAGTGCTCTGGAGAAAAAGAAAGGGTGTGGGAGTTGGGGTGAGCAGAGCAGGGAAAGGCTTTCATGACGAGGTGTGAGGGAGACGAAGGAAGTTGGGGAGAGCCTAAGGCAGGATCGTGCTGGCTTCTTTAAGGGGCACAGGGACATCCACTGTGGCTGAACCCCAGTGGTGAGGGGAGAGTGCACACCACATGGTAGCAGCAGTCAGATTCTGATATAGTCTGAAGTTGGAAGCAGTGGAATTTGCTGCTGGGGATAGCATGGTGGTGGGGAGAGGAGAGGAGCAGGGAGAGAAAAAGACAGCAGTCAAGAGCAACTGCAGTTCTTTAATCTCCCCCCACCCCCACCCCCACCCCCACCCCCACCCCTAATGGGAAGAATGGAATTGCCATGTTCTGAGGTTGGGAAGATCACAGAAGAGCATGTTTGGGGATGGAGGTTTGAATATTGGGAAGTTAATCTGGACCTGCCAAGTTTGACATGCAGATTAGACCTCCAAGCGAAGACATTAACAGTTGGATAATAGGAGCCTGGAGTTGAGAGGAGAGGTTAGGGTTGAAGATTTAACCTTGGGAATCTAAGCATAAATTAACTGTTAAGAAAGTCCTTCTTATAGTAATAACATAGCCCAAAAGACTAGTGAGGAAACAGCTGGACCCCACCTACACACTGGTCAGCAGTGTTCACCTTTTTCTACTTAATCCATTTTCTCTCCCTGTCGTCGATTACCATTTGGCTCCTTCCTTTCTCTAGTTTCATTTTCTCTTCATTTGCTTTGTGTGCCTTCCCTGTTAGAATAACTGTGGTCATCGGAGCACCTGGCTCCGTTTCAGGAATATGATGGTCATTGTCATTTTGGCCTTTCCTCCCTGTTTTCTTTGTCTCCGGGCTGCAGTAACTTCATAATTGAAACATTTTAGCTGGGTTGCTTGAACACTCTCCAGCTTTGTGAAGATAGTAAGTATGTTGCTTTCTCTGTGAAGGTTTGTGAGAGTGTGGTTACAAAGGGCAATTGAATCCTAAGGCAGATGACAGTGATTCAGTCCATCCCCCTGTTGTTCTGTCCTCTTCATTTAGCATCAATAAGCCCTCTTTTCTTTGTTCTGAACAGTTTCTGTAGATTGTTAAATCACTACTTATTTCTCCCATCCCTTTATTAATGTTTACATAAATCAGAGAGCACATTAACCTCCTCTTTTAGATTCTTTATTGTAAATCCCATTAAAATTTCTACTCTTTTCCCGGCTGATTTTATTCTCCACCCCCCGCCCCTTTTCTTTTCTTTTTTTTGGCCGTGCTGCGTGGCTTGCGGGATCTTAGTTCCCCAACCAGGAATTGAACCTGGACCCCTGGCAGTGAGAGCACTGAGTCCTAACCACTGGACCACCAGGGAATTCCTGTCTTCACTTTTTCTAATGTCAAACTTCTTAATCATACCTGGCATTGTTTGGGAGAAGCAGAACTAGTACAGATTCTCCTTTTCAGTGCAGAGACAGAAGAGCTGAGGTCAGCCAGTCTTTCTCCGGGTGAAGTTCATTTGCTTCTCTCTCCCTAAAGGGAAGATGAGTGTCAGCAGGAGCTGCTGGCAGCACTTGGCTAAGAGACTGGCACCTCCAGGCTCTGTGTTTATGGGGAAAACTCCAACTCCAGCAAAGAGCCACTTTTTAATACTGCCAAAACCTGTCCCAGGGTAATTGACATCCAGAACGGGGAAGCTAGAATAAAGTCTGTGGTGTATTCATTTTAGCTGATGAATACACTTGAGTCAAAGATGGAATTTTATCAGTGTTTAGAAAAAATTCTATCCTTGAGCCAAGAACTTTTTGCATATTTACCTGTACCTTCTAGCTTCTAGTGGGTAAAATGATAGGCCTTTGGATAACTCATTACTATGGGCTGGGGCCTGATAGCATTAGTGAATAATGCCTGAGGGATGATAGATGCTGTCGGAGAATCAATTGACCTGTCTTCTCTCCCCTTCCTCTTCTCCACTTCCTGGAGAAACAGGACCGCAGGCACAGCTAGCAACAAGCTGTGGTACGCCTCTCTGTCCCTGGTGACTCTCATCATGTACTCCATCGCCACGGGAGGCTTGATTTTGATGGCAGTGTTTTATACACAGAAAGATGGTTGCCTGGAAAATAAAATTCTTCTGGGGGTAAACGGAGGCCTGTGTCTGCTTATTTCAGTGGTAGCCATCTCACCCTGTGTCCAAGATCGTAAGCACAGTTTTTTTTTCCATTCTTATTCATATTATAAATGTCTTTGAGCAACACCCCTCCCTTTTTGGAAATTATGGTCATTCCTTAATTTACCATGGGTGGATCAGCAATAGGAAAGGTGGGACCCCAGTGTCCCCTTCATGCCCCACACTGGGGCGAATGTGATAGTCACGCATGCCTTGTGTCCAAGATTTGAGTGTAATGAAGCCAATAAATAAGGAGATAGATGTTGCCATTACATAATGCACTACAAGGAGCCTTTCAATGGAAAACACCTTTACTGGATATTTAACTCTTCCCTGTGATCTCTGTGTAAAACTTGAATGAGTGAGAGGGCTACGGAAGGAGCTGTTCTGGGGCTCATCTTTCACTTAAGACCCCTGTGGACCACAAATTGAGGACAGCGTGGTCCCAGAGTCAGGAAGCAGGAAATCCGATCCTGGCTCTGCCAGCAGCTAGCTCCGGGAGCTAACCGTTCTCACACCCCAATCCTTCCTCTGCGAAGCCAACAGAAACCTGTGAGCCTGATCTCGCTCATGGTTGTTTCAAAGCTAAAAGGAAGAGATGATGGAAGTTCATTATTGAAATTGAGATGGTTATTACTCCACCAGTTCCTTTAATTGATCAATTAAGAATTTCCTAAAGCATTAGTATTCAGATTAAAATGTGCTTTGGGTTAAATCCTACTTTTTGAAATAGTTATAATATTTTGAAATATTTGGTTTAATGCCATTAATTGTTAAGGTGAGTCTTATTCCCATGCCAAAGAGCAACATTATGAAAGGGCCTATTTTTTACCTTTATGGGTCATTATAATTTAATAATTATAACTCTGGGAATAAATTTAATCAAATGGAAGACTGGGTGAAACTAAATCCTTTTATGTCTGCAGGTGGTTGAAAAGTTCACCAAAAAAAGGATAAATCCCTTTTATCACATCTTGGTTACTCTCAACCATCCGAACAGTTTAATTTAAATATTGTAACATTGAAACCCTTTTCCCAGTGAATGCTCAGTCCCATAGCCTTCTTCTTTGGTTTGGACCAGCTCTGGTATTCCCAAAGGATTTTTTGTCCATTGACAGATACGAGCTTCCTCCCCATCTGGAATCCAGGCCCTCCCTATAAAATCCATCATTTATTTACCCCACTAAACTATGTGATCTCACAAATAACGACGGTAAATTTTCTTTGGAGGTTTTGTGATTTAAGAACTAATGTTATGAACCTCACGGAGACCAGGCAATATGTTTCAATACAGCTGTAGTTATTATCAAAATAGGGTGTTGGGAGAGAACTCCGTAGAACTTGTCATCTCTAAAACAGCAGTTAGGTTCAGTGTATCACTCCCCGCCCCGCCCCCTCCCCAAATGTTTTGGTGTCATCTGAGAAACACATTACGTACCTCTTCTTACCCTGAAGGGTGGGCCTCCAAGTTGGAGGGATATCATTTGGGGGAGACCTGTTTTTTTAAGGCACGTATGCTTTCTCATCATTGATTTAAAACACTGTCTCTTCTCATTCTCCAGGACAACCGCACTCTGGGTTATTGCAGTCGGGTCTCATCAGCTGCTACGTCACGTATCTCACGTTCTCAGCTCTGTCCAGCAAACCTGTAGAAGTAGGTAAGCCAGCTTGTTAGGGAGCCTGTGCTTGCAGGATGAATGTTGTCATTTGTGGAGTGAGCACTATGTCTCTGTGAGCTATCGTTTAAGTATCAGGGATACGACACATCAAAATAGAGAGATGATCTAGACTTCTTCATTAAATGAGGTCCTCAACATGGGATATGAACATGAAACTTCCTTCTCCTGAGTCTTCCTGCTGTTCAGGAAAGACGTGAACTAAGGAGGGCTGTTGAGTTTGCTTTGAGGCCTAATCTGCATTTTCCTGCTCAGAAATACTCAAATGTTCAAGAAATAATCAAAAATATTCAAGAAAAAATTTTTTGCTCTATTTTTTTATTATTATTTTTAGATGGTTATTAATTTTCTTTAGGTGATCATTCCTCTGACTGTAACAGAGAGTAGAAAGAGCATGGGAGTGGTTCTGCCACTTAAGTAACTTGTATGAAGTCACTTTTCTCTCCCTAGATATCTTGCCTTTAAAATAAGATTTTTTTTTTTTTTTTTTTTTGGTTGCTGCGTGCGGGGCTTTCTCTAGTTGCAGGAGCGGAGGCTGCTCTTTCTTGTGGTGCGTGGGCTTCTCACTGTGGTGGCTTCTCTTGTTGCGGAGCACGGGCTCTAGGCGCGCGGGCTTCAGTAGTTGTGGTGCTCAGGCTCAGTAGTTGTGGCTCGCGGGCTCTAGAGCACAGGCTCAGTAGTTGTGGCACACGGACTTAGTTGCTCCGTGGCATGTGGGATCCTCCCGGACCGGGGCTCGATCCTATGTCCCCTGCATTAGCAGGTGGATTCTTAACCATTGCGTCACCAGGGAAGCCCCTAAAATAAGAATTTTAATTATTATTTTAAGAAGATAATTAAATAAAATTCTTCTTTTATAGGGTGGTTTTTAAGATTTCAATGAGTATGTGTGTGTATGTAAGTATAAGTACAGTTCCTGGAATGTAGTAGGTGCTATATAAAGGGTGCCTATTATTCTTGTAGAGTGGTTGCAATGAATATTTGAGAACTATAAAAGCACTATTATATTATAAGCTTTCCCAGTAAAGGACCAGATTTTCTTGTGTTGATTTCCAAACTCATTATATTTCATCATCTTTATCACTTTTGTGATATATAAATGTGTATATAAATGTATACTCATATACATGTGAATATGTTTGGGTACATTTTATCTTATATACATCAGGTGAAATACATGTACTCTCTTTTCTCTAGAATAGAAAATTGAAGTTGTTTTCCTTTTTTAAATTTAGAAAGCAAATGCGAAGATAATTTGAAACTTTTAGCATATACATGTACTACATATGGGTCTTGCCTTTATAGCTATTTATAGTACAATGCAAATATAATTGTACATCTTATATTAAGTATAGTCTATCCTGGATATATTTTTTTAAATCTCTCTTGACTCTAAGTTTATTTAAGTCTACTCTATTTAAGACTTTTATGAGTGTTTTGACTATTTATGTATTAATCTCTGTTTTTAACTTAACGGGGTTTTTGGTTGCAACATTTTTCTTTTTAATGGCAGGTATCACTTAAATACAGAAAAAAACTTTTATTTTTAATTTTGGGTGGTACTACTTAAATAGCAAAGTTCATATTTTGGTCAGTTTTGTAAAGAAAATTTTCATTGGCCTAAGAATAAAGATTCCTTAAACCACAGCACACACAGTTTACAGTTTCAAGTGGGAGCACCAGTAATAATTTTAGTCCAACTTTAAACTCTTAGAATGTGCATGTTTGTAAAATGGTTTCTAGCCTGTTATTTTATGTTTATGTTCCTTATTTTTGGGCAGAGTTGGCAAACAGACCCAGCTTGGGTGTTCAAAATTGAAGACTCTGTGATAGATAAAAAGTAAACGACTAGTGATGGTAATATGATACAAATCTTTGTTATGTAGCCTCTCACAATTTTTTAAAGCTCTAGACCACTTGAGGAGGTTCCCAGGTTACAGCCGTAAGATGTCATGACTGTCCTATTACCGACAGTAAAATGACTTCTCATCTGGGTGGAGGCTGTCGGCCAGATAGCAGTTCCTGCAGGTTCCTGTTTGATGTAATAGTCTTGACACTCCTCCAGGGAGGATAGACATGGAGGATGCTCTCAGTTAGCTGCACGCTACCTGCCAATCAACTGCCCAATCAACTGAAAAATGACCTAAGTTTACTCTTTACCATCGTTTCAATAGTACTGAAAAATAGCACGACTCTTAGAAAGTCCTGGGACTGAAGATCCCTTTAGCACTAAACTGGAACCCGAGGGTCTTGCTCCGAGAGGCTTCCTAGGTGGCAGAGGGTGCTTCACAGTAGTAACAATCTAGTCTGAGTCGAGTGGGACAGTAGAGGAGAAGCTTCCAGTGCTGAGTCTCACTGTTCTGCACTGCATGAATTTTCCCAAAGTGAATGCATCCCTGAGTTACAGCGGGCTTTTCTAATGTGGCTCTGATTCCTTTCCCTTTTCTTCACAAGTTCTAGATCAACATGGGAAGAATGTCACCATCTGCGTGCCTGACTTCGGTCAGGACCTGTACAGAGACAAAAACTTGGTTGCTGGACTGGGTACCACTCTGTTGTGTGCGTGCATCTTGTATTCCTGGTAAGTTTCAGGAGTTACCTAAGGCCATCTTTGCAGACTTTAAAAGTATAAGAGGAGAATTTAAATACATTTTAGCAGTGTGAGGCAGCCAAACAAATACCATCTGAGGAAGAGGGAAAATGTAGCCTGAAGTAAACAGGTGGTATTACAGCATGAAATCTAGGTGTTTGGACTTCATTTGCCTAACTTGTATTTCTATGTGGTAAATAAAATAAATATATATGGTACGTTGCAATGCTTTAACAGACAGTTGAGTACTACTTGCTAAAGCATTTTTGGAGGGTAAGGGAGCACAAAGTGAGGAAGAGGTGGAATGTGCCAGAATGTTTTGGCAACTTTCTACTCCAGCGGAAATATCGTTTGTTCTCTTGTTGATGGAAAGAGTAAAAAGTAATCCATGCACAGTCATTTTGTGCTTGGTCCAGGAAAGAGAGGAAACATCCCTTTTCTTTTATGCTAAAACCCACATTGCTATTAAGGAGGCGAACTCATTTCTCCAAAAGTAAGTGTGATACATAAACAGGCTGTGTTGCAGATGCTTGGGGTGAGGTTTATTCCACCTTCAAAATCTGTAGAAGATACGAGAAGGAGAAAAGTAAAGGGTAGGAATGATAAGTTTCTTACTTCAGGTACATATTTCACTGATGATCAAGCTTCCCTTTGACAGTAACCCTTTCATGTTTAGGTTTTACTCCTGTGTTTTACATTTCGTTTGTTATATTTCTTCTTTATTAAAAGAAAAAAATATATATATATATGTATATTTATTTATTTATTTATTTTGGTTATGCCGGGTCTTAGTTGCGGCATACGGGATCTTCGTTGCGGCATGTGGGCTCTTAGTTGTGGCATGCATGCGGGATCTAGTTCCCCAACCAGGGATCGAACCTGGGCCCCCTGCATTGAGAGCATGGAGTCTTACTCACCGGACCACCAGGGAAGTCCCTCGTTTGTTATATTTCAGTGTCTAAAAATTTCAGCTAGTCACAGGCACATGGTAATCTTCCTCTGGCCAAAACTGTACTATCCTGGTGGTGATAGCTTGTATAAATAGAATGTCTCTCTGAGCATGTTGGCTTTTTCTCTTAGAGCTTCTAACACCCCCTAATGCCATAGAGAGAGACCAACAGACATAGACAGACAACAGACGTAGACAAGAGAACTGAGTTTTATAAAGCACGTGTTCACAGTCATGCATCAAGCTTTCAAACGCGTGCAAGCTCTCAGCCTGTCTGTGATGTGGTGACAGCCTTTCCATGATGCAGCAGAAGGGACTGTGGTGACCGGTTTCTGGCCTTGCACCGTTATTAATTCCATACTTGTTCACTGATTCGGGCCCTCATCAATGAATGTTTTCAGGAAAGCCATAAAGGCCACCCACATTTTAATGCTGATTCTCAGCCCTTCCTTTCTTAAGTTTTTCCTTCCTGAGTCTGTTATTGTTGGGCTTTGGGGAGAAATGTCAGCAACATGGCTAATTTTGCAATTTGTCACTCACATTTTTTTCTGCATTGGTATGTAAAAAAATATTGGTAAATCCAGTGAGGAGAAAGTAGGTTACTAAACTATAAGTGTAGAATATTCCATTTTTAAAATAAAATATAGTTGTATTTACACATGTAGAAAAACTCCTGGAAGGAGATAAACCAAGCTTGTAAGAGTGGTGGTATTAGGGATAACTTTTTTCTGTTTTTTTCTTAAAAAAAAAAAAAAAATTTTTTTTTTTTTTTTTACAATGAGCTAGTGTTTCTTTTGTTTGTGCTATCAGAAAAAAAAAGGCTGTAAATATATTGGATACAATAAAATCATGTGGTTTTTGAGTTGCTGAATGCCTAATCCTGCATGATAAAAAATGTTTGTGCCCTTAGATAAAAATAGGGCATAGATTTGCTATAAGCCCATCAATGGAAAAGATGGCAAAAATGCTATTTAATGTGCTGATAGAACTGCCACCAGTGGTGTTGATTTGTGGTGTGGAATTTTCACCCTGTTAGATTTTCACTGCCATCCTTGAGTGAGAAATGATGAATAAAACATTGCTCCTTTTGGAATTTAGAGGCACTTTAGTGGAGGTTGGTAAGGTCTAATCTGATATTCCCAAAAGATAACAAATTTCAAAGCTGACAGCTGCTACTTAACATCTGTCTAAATGCCAGTAACAAACTTTTTTTTTTTTCTTTCGGTACGCGGGCCTCTCACTGTTGTGGCCTCTCCCGTTGTGGAGCACAGGCTCCGGACGCGCAGGCTCAGTGGCCATGGCTCATGGGCCCAGCCGCTCTGCGGCATGTGGGATCTTCCCGGACCGGGGCGCGAACCCGTGTCCCCTGCATCGGCAGGTGGACTCCCAACCACCGCGCCACCAGGGAAGCCCAACAAACGTTTTTGAATGCTGGTAATCAAACTGCAAAACCATGGTGTGCAAAGGAACGAGGAGACAGAAAACAGCAGCCACACCGAGTGGAGATGAGGAGTAGCCAGGCAGCTCCAGGGTATTGGTGTAACACATGGCGCGGACACACTGCCTGGTGATGGCAGGTGATTCCTCAGGGGTCAGTGAAGTGCTGCACAGGGTGGGGTGAGGGTGTCTGAGTGACTGATGTTTGCTCTGATTACCCACCACAGCTCCAGGAGGAATGGGCTTTGAGAACTTTATACCAAGCATCTTGGAGCTCAAGGGGTACTGAGTTCAGCCTAGGAGGGCCTTGAACAGGGAGGTGTGAGAGGTGACCCAATTAGGAGTGTTTCAAATCTTGACTTTCCTAGACTCAGAGGATTGAGAGATTGGAAGATACTACAGAAGGAGGCTGCGCTGCCTGGGCGAAAACTGTCATTTGAAGATGATTGCAGGAATATCTAGAATTCTCCATAGACTCTGTAGGAAGCCAGAAGATTGGGTGGTGTGTGCGTTGAAGGGAGAAGAAATCACCTGTTTTCAATGGAAGTCCAGGATTGCTTGGGATTGGGGTTAACTTGTTTTGGTAAGATCTTAGAGGCTCGCTGTGCTATGTTCTCACCCAACTGGAGTCTCCTCACCCCCGACACACTCTCTCTCTCTCAGACACTTCTTTAGGAGGCTCTCATGATGGCCTCCAGTCTCACTTTCTGGCTCTCTGTCCCAAGTCCTGCTTCTGGGCACTCACTATGAGGATGTTTTACTCTTGGCTGTCTTAGCTTGGAAGAAGGGCTCAGCCAAAACTCACTCGCCAGCTTTCCAACTGAGGCTGCCCTTTCTCCCAAAGCCTCTTCTACTGTACCCAGGCATTATGCTGTAAAGAAATGTCACAGCCCGGACCCCGTCAGGAGTCCCCTGATGGCTCTTTCTATAAGCGGGTGCCCCTGTACCCCCTTAGGCCTGGATCCTTGCTGTCATAGGCCCTGGCCTCCCCCAGCTATTCCTTAAGTCCCTCCTTGGTCTCTAGATTTTGATTGAAATTGTTATTCTGTTGGATTCAAGTTCACAAACTGTCAGATGAGACAGGATCATGGAGTCGATCAAGTTCAATTCCCTCTTGGGAATTCTCTGACGGTCCAGTGGTTAGGACTCTGTCCTTTCATTGCCGACAGCCCGGGTTTCATCCCTGGTTGGGAAGTTAAGATCCCACAAGCTGTGCACCCCACCCCCACCCCCCCAACAAAAGAAAAGTTCAATTCCCTCATTGTACACATAAGGAAAATTGAGATGTGGAGACTGCTCCTATATTTTTCCCCCAGTTCAGGAAACCTTTCCTTACATCTCCTTTGCTGGCGTATTGGGAGAGACAGGTTCATAGTCATTCTCCACACACCCCCCCACCCCCCACCCACGCCCTGGGAAGACTTGGAATAAGGTCCTTCACTTAGGTGGAACAATCAGCTGGATGACTTGCATAATTGCATTATTAGGAGGCATTTGTGCTGTAAAATGTTCCCCGGCTATTTCAGTTTTAGCTATGCTTAAGAGAAAAAAATAACTCTTTTTTCAGCTGTCTTAGGAATTTGAGAACAAAATTGGAAAAACTAAGAATCTTTAGTAAAGGTCAAACAACTTGCTAGTTCCAAATGGGACATTTCACAGCACTATAGCAGACCATATGGAAATAGGTGCAAGATTGGTAAGATGGCACTGGAGAGATTGGTTTAAATGGAGAAAAGTTGGCAAATCAAGGAGGGTTATCTATTCTTTTGGTGTGTTCTGGACCTACTGCTTTTATTTAAGAAGGGGGTGGGGGGAGTACCTTTTGGGAATCCTGTTACTGCCTAACCTGCCAGCTAGAAGTTTTCATGTCTCTGCATCAGGAACATGTTGAGGACCCCTTTTCACCATCTCTGGTTTCCACTGGGAACATAACTGAACTTGATTATACCAAGTCTGAGAACAGTCACGGGATCTCTCAAGGGCCCTGTAAGTTTGTCGGGGGCAGAATCTGTGGTCTCCGATAGGAAAGTCTGGACGCGTTGTCTAGAGATTTTCTGTGACCTAGTGGAGTTTGGCCAGTTCCCGAACCGCTGAAGCAGATGTGGAGGGGCACCTGCATTGCAAATCATTCTTCCAATATGGAAGAGATTCTGGGCATGACAGAGGTTGGGAGGGGTTGGGGGTAGCAGGGAGGCGTTTTTTCTTTTTTGGTTGTCACAACAACTGCAAGATGCCCCTGGCTTTTGGTGAGAGAGTGCTCGAGATAGTAAACAAATAAGGTGATTAGACCTTCTCTGTCCACTGAAGCATTGTCCCAACCAAATGCTGTCAGGCTCCTCCCACCCCCACAGGAAGTACTGGGTTAAAGTCACTCAGGCCTTAGCCCTGGAAGGGAAGAGGTTATGGATAATCCGGGAATTGTTGTCTTGTGCCGACCAGATGGGTCTTAGTAATAGCCAGAGTGCAGACAATAAGAATTTCCTAGGCTTTTAAAGAGTTTGTAAAAACAATATTTTCTCAGTAATTTTAAGAAGAGTGTTTTGTGGGTAAAGGCCATGATTGAATAAAGACCTTATTTTATGGTAACATCTACTTATAGAAGTCACATGTCACTAATGATGAACTGATTATAGGTATTTTTAGAAGAACAAAAGCTTCCCCTTTTAAAGTGCTCTCTGATGATGGAAGCAAAGTGGCAGAGGTGTCAGGATCAAAAGCTTTGCTTTTCTGAAACCATTTTATTCCCAAGAATTTATGAAATGGAATATTTATTTGAACTTTTTAAAAGAATAAATATCATCTTTCAGATGAAAATTCCAGATATTGATCTCTTCCTAAAGTTAAGTTACATTTTCCTCCATGGAAACGATATACTGTGTTAAATCATAATTCATATGCACAAAATGTAACATGCCTTGAGTGCAGGAGCAAGATGTATGTGTTTCTTGGGTGCACAGCCATTGGGAATTGTTTCTATCATTCCTCAGACCAGGTTCAAAGTCAGGAAGTGGGAGTGGAGCGGGCCTCCATTAACATCCATCTGTTCAAAGCAGACGTGAAAGTGATGCCATTGGACTTGAGTGGACCACAAAAGAAGCAATGCTCTTGGATCCCAGAGGACCTTTTTATGAGGAAAACTTTTTATTGTTTATTTGCATCTCACTGATCTCTTCTCTCCTTGGGAGAGAGGATGAGAATGAGCAGAGAAGGTAGTGCTGCGTCTTGCAGTTTATTTGGTTGAAATGGGTCTGCTAATTCCTGCCTCTCCACTAGCCCCTCCGCCCCCAGGCTAGCGCATTTGCTGCAGGAGGGCAGGGATTGTTGTGTGTTTCACCGAGTCCCCAGTGCTTAGAACAGGGCCTGGCACATGGCACACCTTCGGTAAATATTTGCTAAATCAATCTGTAAAGATTATTCATATATATTGAATATTTTTCTATTTGCTTAAAATGGTCCTTTTTTTCCCCCAGGAAAAATAAATACTTTTTTTTTTTTTTTTTTTTTTCACCCCTGTAAGCCAGATTTTATAACATTTTACCTCTCTAGGCATGGGGAGAGTGGCAGGAAGAATGTTTTTTAATCACACTGATAACTACTCTGTGCTGAATTTCCAAACAGAAAACCTTGCTCTGCCAAAGGCTGATTATCACAGAAAATAGTGATGACCTTTGCTTTTCGTGCCTTTGCATTTTGTTGCCATTTCTGGCTTCTTTCATTGCTTTTGATCCCTTCTAAGTGAGACTAGTCAAAGGGAGGGGAAAGATAAAAATGAAATCTGAAAATTATTGGCATTTGAGGGAGGAGAAGCGGAAACCAATAGTGAAAAACAAGATAATAGGATCAAAAAACGACTTTTATCTTTTTTAACCTATAAACTTCTCTTTGCATAAAATGATCTCATGCAACATGGGAAAAAAACATCAGCCATCGAACAGGTCAGGCAATTTTGGAATAAAGTGGGTTGTTAAAATAGACAACTTGTATTCAAGCAGGACTGTAGGTTAGAGTGAGCCTCTCACTGGAGCCTCCGCCAGGAGACTCTGCCCTCCTTCTATGTGATATAACACGTTAATAGGCCTTGCTGACCTTTTTTGTTTATCTCTTAGTTTGACATCGACGACCAGATCAAGTTCGGATGCTCTGCAGGGGCGGTACGCAGCTCCTGACCTGGAAGTAAGCTTATTTCCTTTTCTGGCCCTGCTTCATCTCGGAAGACCCATGTTTCAGAAGGCTTTTTATGTGTTTATTTGCATCCTTAGTGGTCTGTATTCCACGATCCCATTTTTCTCCTTAGGAAGGAATACAATTTTCGTCCAGGAAAAGAAATGTCCTGAATATACTACAGGATTAAAATAAATCCTTGATCTTCCTCCAACAAATTTGGCCTCTGGTGTGGCATTCGGCCGCCCCACTCCCACCAGAGGCCTGGGTAGCTCGTTGGGCTGCTCTTTGCTCGTTTCCTCTGTTGTAACAGAATGTGTGCGGGTTGTCTTAACTTCTAGCCCATCCCCCTCGTCTTTACCTGTCTGCGCTCTCCGTACACAGCACGGCCATGAGGTCATAGGGTAGCTGTGGGAAGGAGAGGGGAGGAACGCGCCTGCGCTCTGTGCCGCCCTGCTGGGCACTGTCTGTACGTGAGCTTGTTAACTGCAGCAGCGCCAGCAGGCGGGCCATCCCATGGGGCGAAGAATGGTGAACAGTCGGCGTCCGAAGAACCAGGCTGGTCAGCATTTGCCTGTCGGTCAGCAGAATGTCATTTTCTTTCTTGTGCAAACGTCTTTTTTCTGGGGCCCTCAGTGGAACATCCACCAAGGTCACAAAAGGTCTGATCAGATGGAGGCAGCCAGGAAGAGACTCAGCCCTGACCCCAAGAATGGAACGAACAGGAGGTTCCGATGATGGCTAAGACTAGCTGTGTTCTAAGTGCTACGTCTGTGACTTCATTTAATCTTCAAAGAAGCCCAAGGAGGGTTTTATCTCCATTTCACAGAAGGGGGAAAAACAGAAAAGTTAAGTCCTTGAAACTTTTGATTTGCCAGCATGTAAACCGTGCCCTCTTGTTCCAGAGTCTATGCTGTGTTCCTAACCACCACTGCCCGAGATGCAGCTGCTCTCTGCTGATTCTGCCTGGCGTCCAACCCCGGCTGCATGGAGGAGGAGCCCTGGCATCTGTCCAGATATGCGCACTTTGTTCTGCAGTGGGTCTCTGGGGATGGTCCTCCCTGCACCTGACCTGGAGATAGTGGACCATTATGAAGGGTTGTCAGTCTGCCAGTATCATTCACCAGCTCTTTCTGTCTCTTGAAGAAGGAGAAAACTGTGCTGAGTTTGAATGGGTTACTGCCTATTCTCCAGAAGAGAATGGCCTCTAGAAGGCAAGGGGTCGTTCACACTGCTGACTGGGTCACCCCCTGCTGAGGTTGGACCGCTCTGGCTTCAATATCCCCATTGTGTACACAGTTAAAGTGCAAAGAACAGCAAGTCTCCGAGTTAGATTTAAGAGAGGATGTTTTTCTTCGCATTCCAAGGAAAGAGCCCCAGCATTTCCCTCTGAACTGGAGAGCACACAGGATGGAAGTTGGTTTGCTAACTCCTTGCCTCACATTTCACAGGATATACCTTTGAAAGAGAGAGTTAGTCATTTCTTGTAACTTAAGCTTCAAAAGAACTGGGACCCCAGCATACGATGTCTTGGCCCCATTGAATGAATTAGTGAATCTTGGACTGTATCACAATCCCTCTATGACAAGTTTCCTTGATGCACGAAGGAAAAAGGGCTTGGCTTTGAGATGTATAAATGGGACGAAGGCTCAAGCTCCCACGTCCTTGCCCCTGGCTCTCTGTTCTTTGTCGTGAAACTGTTGTTAGCCGGAAGGTGCTGAGGACCCAGCACTTCGCAGACTGTCTTGGCGTGTGTAGCATTTCTTATTCTGTTTACCAGAGTACTTCTGGAATCATGGAGTAATTTTTCGTAACCTGATTTTTTTTTTTAAATTGTTTATTGTTTTGAGTAGGTCAGAAACATGGCATGACATTTGGAAGGAACCAAGGACTGTTAAAGGAAAGCATCCCATCCATCGCTGTCCCCAGCACCCCTGCCCCCATGAGGCAGCCAGCTCAGAGCCCGATTTTAATAGGAAATGTGGGCAGGCCTCCTGGCCCCAGATCCCTTAGTTGTTTTACCCTTTCTGAGTCTGTCAGCCCCACCATCTCCTAGATACCATGTGCTGCCTATTGGGGTTCACTGCGTTCCTCTCCCAGGTCTGTCACCTAATTTTGTGACTTCAGGCCAGTTATTCAGCCTGCGGGACCCCAGTTTCCTCACGTGTAAACAGGATAATGATCCCAGCCCCAGGCGCCGAAGAGGATCTCATCAAGTAGCAAGTAGAGCAAAGCACCAGGAGTGAGCTCCATGAGTGTGGCGACCTTGTCTCACTCACTTTGTGTTCCAGGTTGAGTTTTCCAGAAGCAGCCACCGAGGCAGAGCCTGATATGCGGATGTTTATTAGGGATCAACACATGTGGAAGGAGGGAAGGGGGCAGCATGGGGCAGAGGGTGAGGTCGAAGGGCACTGCAGGCTGGACAGAGCCACTGCTCACCCCCCGGGCATTCGGAGCAGATACACGACCCATCAGAGCTGTCCCCCAGGGGTCAGTGGCTGCACCTTTACCGCCCTGCCGTGAGCGGTCATTCTGTGTGGGTTGCCCAGGATAGGCTCCCTCGAGGGTGGGGCAACCCACAGCTGGGGCAAAGCCTGGAGCTGCCTTCTAGAGCCTCGCAGTAGCTGAGCAAGCACTAAGGGAGCACCTTGGAACGGGATCTGGGTGGCTCACCTCCATGTCCTTATTTCCTGTCACTAGCCCCCAGAGCGTCTTGGAAGAACACACGTGATCAGAACCTTTCGAAGGAGTGAAGCGTGCAGTTCAGGGCTTGGGATATAGTTCAGATGGAGAAGGTTTGGCACATAGGTGGCCTTTAGTTCTTAACCAGTGTGGAGATAGAAAAGCAGAAAGCAAGCCGCCTGACTGTTGGTTTTGCCCTCGCAGGTAGCCCGGTGTTGTTTTTGCTTCGGCTCTGGTGGAGAGGGTAAGTAGACAGCTTTCCTTCCGTGCTCCGTGCGGCCCTGCAGACCTGTAGCTCTAGTCTGTAGGCATTTGGGATTCAGGCACAAATAACTTGAGTGGTGAGAGGACATTTTTATTCCAGAGCTGGTTTATCGTTATGTGTTACACTTTACGCATTCTTCCCAAAGGGTTGCTGGGATTCGTTTGTGTTGATATTCTGGCAAGAGAAGAACAGTCTATATTTTGGGTCATGTTTATATAAGTTACATTACCCAGTGAGATTTCAAGGAGCGGGAGGTGCATTTTTTAAAGGAACGATAATTTGGAAATTTTCTTTCGTTCAGCTTACTTCTCTTCTTGAATTAGAGCATCCCAGGGGCTTGAGAACTCTTGCTCTGCCCTCTCATTTTCTTCTGAGCTTATAATGCGTTTTGTGTGTTTAAGGGCTCTCTTCTGTTAAAATAAACGTGACCGACATTAGGTAACTCATCCTGTTATAGAAGGTTTTGGGGTGAGGTGGGCGTTTGGGGCTTATGGCATAGATGAAATTGCCTGAGGGTACAAATGATTTTTGACAGCTTTTCTACTCAACAGCCCCTGGGATGGAAACTAGCGAGTGTGGCTTTGGGAAAATGGTCAACATGCGTGTGTTCACTCACTGGGCTTGTGCTCGCTTTGTGGTTCACAGACACAGACGAGCAGCAGAATGTGAAAGAGGGCCCGAGGGTCATTTATGATGAGAAGAGAAGCACTGTCTACAGCTATGCCTATTTCCACTTCGTATTCTTCTTGGCTTCCCTCTATGTGATGATGACCGTCACCAACTGGTTCAAGTGAGTGGCCCCGTTGTCTTAGATGTTTTAGAAGTTGTTAAAAGAAAAGTCTTTTAAAAACATCCTATTCTTTTTTTTTTTTTTACATCTTTATTGGAGTATAATTGCTTTACAATGGTGTGTTAGTTTCTGCTTTATAACAAAGTGAATCAGTTATACATATACATATGTTCCCATATCTCTTCCCTCTTGCGTCTCCCTCCCTCCCACCCTCCCTATCCCACCCCTCTAGGTGGTCACAAAGCACCGAGCTGATCTCCCTGTGCTATGCCGCTGCTTCCCACTAGCTATCCATTTTATGTTTGGTAGTGTATATATGTCCATGCCACTCTCTCACTTCGTCCCAGCTTACCCTTCCCCCTCCCCGTATCCTCAAGTCCATTCTCTAGTAGGTCTGTGTCTTTATTCCTGTCTTACCCCTAGGTTCTTCTTGACATTTTTTTTTTCCTTAAATTCCATATATATGTGTTAGCATATGGTATTTGTCTTTCTCTTTCTGACTTACTTCACTCTGTATGACAGACTCTGGGTCCATCCACCTCATTACAAATAGCTCAATTTCGTTTCTTTTTATGGCTGAGTAATATTCCATTGTATATATGTGCCACACCTTCTTTATCCATTCATCCGATGATGGGCACTTAGGTTGTTTCCATCTCCGGGCTATTGTAAATAGAGCTGCAATGAACATTTTGGTACATGACTCTTTTTGAATTATGGTTTTCTCAGGGTATATGCCCAGTAGTGGGATTGCTGGGTCATATAGTAGTTCTATTTGTAGTTTTTTAAGGAACCTCCATACCGTTCTCCATAGTGGCTGTACCAATTCACATTCCCACCAGCAGTGCTAGAGTGTTCCCTTTTCTCCACACCCTCTCCAGCATTTATTGTTTCTAGATTTTTTGATGATGGCCATTCTGACTGGTGTGAGATGATATCTCATTGTAGTTTTGATTTGCCTTTCTCTAATGATTAATGATGTTGAGCATTCTTTCATGTGTTTGTTGGCAGTCTGTATATCTTCTTTGGAGAAATGTCTATTTAGGTCTTCTGCCCATTTTTGGATTGGGTTGTTTGTTAAAAACATCCTATTCTTTACAGCCTGAAGATCAGATCTCTTGGAGTCAACTAACTTCTTCTCCAAGTGCTGCTGTACTCATCTTCACAGAAACAGTCCGCGTTCCTGACAGTCTGTCAGCGTGCTTTTTAAAACAATATTTATTTATTTATTTGGCTGCGCCAGGTCTTAGTTGAGGGATCTCTCCGTTGCAGCACGTGGGATTTTGTTCCCTGACCAGGGATCAAACCCGGGCCCCCTGCATTGGGAGCGTGGAGTCTTAACCACTGGACCACCAGGGAAGTCCCTCTGTTGGCATGCTTTTAAGCCTGGCAGTTGGTGATACTTACTGCAGCTTTAAGAAAATGGGAGGTTAATGGCACGTGGGCAGTCTTGAGAACATAGTAACAGTGAGGAGGAAGAACATGGAATTCTGCCTTTAAGAAAGAGAAGATACTCTTTTTTTCTACTTTGTACTTTGTCTTTTTTTTTTTTTACACTTTCATTACAAAAGTTTGAAACATCTTAAAAAAAACTAACATATGGACTTCCCTGGTGGTCCAGTAGTTAAGACTCCCTGCTTCCACAGCAGGGGGCGCGGGTTTGCCAGCCTGGCATAGCCAAAAAAAAAAAAAGAGGTGAAAGTGTGAAAAATAACAATGGACCCCCCCCACCCCATAACCACTGCTAACTATATGGTATGTATCCTTTCATTCCTTTTCTTTGCATTTATAAGCCTATATAATTTTTTTTTTTTTTTTTTTTTTTTTTTTTTTTTTTTTTTTGCGGTATGCGGGCCTCTCCCATTGCGGAGCCTGTGCTCCGGATGCGCAGGCTCAGCGGCCATGGCTCACGGGCCCAGCCGCTCCGCGGCATGTGGGATCTTCCCAGACCGGGGCACGAACCCGTGTCCCCTGCATCGGCAGGCGGACTCTCAACCACTGCGCCACCAGGGAAGCCCTAGCCTATATAATTTTTAAAACATAAACGTGATTACACATATTCTCCCCCTTGAGGGTTGTTTTTTAACTTACGTGATGGGCAATACATGATGGGCCTGACTTTCCCTGTCACTACATGGAGATTCTTTTTGATTCCTTTTGGAGATTTCTTTGACCGATCCAAAGTTTCTGTTGCATCATAATTTGTTGTGCCTGAGGATATACCTAACATAGACATTAGAATAACTTAGGATAGACATTAAGACTCATTGTACAACAAACATGTGAGTGGCTCCTTCATGCCACACTGCTGTGGGTGGTAGGGACTATATTCTAATAGGGGAGATGGACGGTGATCCAATCAAATACAGCGTGTCAAACAGTGATGACTACTGGGGAGAAAAATGAAGAAGAGGAATGAGGAGTACCCAGTGGGGTCGGGGATGCTGGGGGCAGCGGTTTCAAGTAGAGTGATGGGGAAGGCTTCCCTGAGGAGATTCTTCCCCAACATCCTGAGGGAGAAGAGGGTGTTAGAGCCTCTAATGCTTCCCAGTGATACCTGGAGAATTCCTGGAAAATTTTGGCTTCGGAAGTTTAAGAAAGGATGGAGGCAGAAAATAACATGTCAAGGATGTGGAGAAACTGGAACCCCCTCACACTCCTGGTAGGTAAAATGGTGCAGCCACTTTGGAAAATAGTTTCTCAAAAATGTTGAACACAGAGTTATTATATGATGCAGCAATTCCACTCCTAATTATATAACCAAGAGAAAAAAAAAAAACACATATGTCCATGTAAAAACTTGTACACAAATGTTCATAATAGCATCATTCATAATAGCCGAAAAGTGGAAACAACCAAATGTCCATCAGCTGACACATGGATAAACAAAAGGCGCTATATCCACGCAGTGGAATATTCCTCAGCAACAGAAAGGAATAAAGTACTGTTACATACTACAACATGGATACACCCTGAAAACAGTATGCTGAGCGGAAAAAGCCAGTCACAAGAGGCCACATGATTCCATGCATGGTGACATGTCCAGAATAGGCAAAGCCATACGGACAGAAAGTGGATAAATGCATGGCAGGGGCTGGCAGGAGGAGGGAAATGGGAGGGCAGCTGAAGGGTGCAGGGTTTCTTTCTGGGGGGATGAGAATGTCCTAAAATTGATTGTGGTGATGTTACACAAGTCTATGAATATAATAAAAATCGTGTACTTTAAGTGGGTGTGAATTACACCTGAATTGAGTTGCCAGGGAAAAAAAGAAAGGCTGGAGGTGGTGGAAGCAGGGAGAGACAAGACTTGGTGGAAGAGACCTTCTCACCACCTGTTCGCACCCTGCACTGATCACAGCTGGGTCTCTTGTTTCCGCAGCTATGAAAGTGCCAACATTGAAACCTTCTTCAGCGGGAGCTGGTCCATCTTCTGGGTCAAGATGGCTTCCTGCTGGATATGTGTGCTGTTATACCTGGGAACGCTGGTCGCTCCCCTCTGTCGACCCTCTCCGCACTTCTCCGTGTGAGGATCGGAGCAATCTCCTAGGTTCTGCAGGCTGGAAGTGACGTCCTTTGAACAAACATACCAGGAGTCTGAGCAGTGACTGGTACTTTGTGACAAGCTGGCATTCCCCCTGGCTGGCTTGAGTGGGTCTAAAAAAACTTAACAGGCGGAAAAAAAATCACCTGCTTATCTTTTTTAATTCTGAAATTTGAAAAGAAGCTACCAGTTTGTCCCCCGAAAATTGAAATTTTCACCCGAGTGGATCCTGAGTGATATATTTTGTATGTGTCTTACCCCTAAAAACTGGGATAGTAGTTAGGCAAGTATTTTCCTTCTGCATGTTTTTACCAAAACAGAGTTTGGGACATGACATTTTATCACAGGGAGAAAAGCTTACCTTGTGTGGCCTATTATTCCTATCCTTGAAATAGAAAAACATGACAGAATCTGGGGCCCTAAGCTCCTGACAGAACGCAGACCCCTCTCCCACACCTCGGCCTGCGGGACCCCTGCTCCTGGTTCCCTGCTATTTATTGGCTACAAGAGGAAGCATCTGCTTTTAACTCCACCCTTGTGCTGTTTCCTCCCAGCCCCCAAACGTTTCCCTTTGAAGTTGTGATGCTGGGAATCACAGACTTCACTCTGTCCTTGCCCTTCCCAGAGCTCCCCTCATCCTTTCTGGGTTCAACATCTTTGTTGTAATGTGAAAAAGCACAATTTGTCATCACCACCCATGTGATCCCCCACCAGGTTATCACTACCTGATCTGAGTTACTGCAATACTATGACTCTTACACGTGGTGTTACTCACTGATTAGAGAACAATATTCGTGTTGTTTTCTTTGCTATAGTTCTTGTTTGTGGATTGATATTCATGATACTTTAGGGCCTTACCTGGGAAGTTGCTTCTTGACTGAAGCCTGCTGCGCCCCTCTTTCCATTACTAAAGTCAGCCAGTTTTCTCTTCCACTTGAGGCCTTCGAAATTGTAAAAGCAAAAGGACTTTTGTTTTCCAGACCTGTAATGTGAGCACGCCGTTAATGTCCATTATGATTTTGGGGGTGGATTTGCTGAGGTGAGGACCACAGGCAACACCTCAAACAGGGCTGACCAGGTAAGGCCTCCAGTTATACAAGTTGTACAAGTGACCAAATATACTTAGAAGAAAGGGTGGGTGGGGGGGAGGTATTTAACTAAGCCATAAGCAAAAGCCGCAGAAATTTCCAGAATACATACTTTTAAGGTGATACTGAAGAAAGATATGACTCTAGGCAGCTGCCCAAGAAGACGTCCATTTTCAGTGCTGATACTCTCAGCCAGGGAAGAGTTTACGCAGTGGAAAGTCCATCAGAGACCCTGGTGGAGGACGGTGGGCACCCTCCTCTTAGTATTTCATGCGGGATGGAAAGAATCCTCTCAGCACCCAGGCAGAGAGGGTCTGAGGATGAAAAGATTTGGCCTGTACTTTTGTGCCCTGCTGTATGCATTGGGTCCCACCTAAGCTGGCCTCCAGTGTGCCAAATGCCGGCCTGAGAAATTAGTCTAGTTCTTCATTTCCACTCACTGCTTTGCCCTCCTTTCAAGAAAATTGGGGGGCGGGGCTCAAACAATGGATGAATTCCTCCAGGAACTTATTTACAGTGTTGGAGATTCGCTCATTGTGTGTGTGTGAGAGCCTTGTTTTGTAAACTTTATCAAGTTGTTTTCAGACCAGGAGCTCTTTGAGCTCGGTGGTCCAGAGATCTTCTGTAGGCACAAAATGAATGGCCGCTATGCGTAGCCCGAGCTTAAGCCAGTGGGAGTGTGAGCTCTGTGGGTCGGACAGGTGGAGGGAGTGGGGTTGTGTGTGTCGCAGCATCCTGGCAGAGGCCACCGCAGCGGCCGGTGCAGTGACACGGGCTCTGGGTAAGCCGAAAGGAGAGGCAGCTCAGGAGCCGGGGTGCCGTCAGTGACTGGTTTCGTTGTGTCTTCTCCCTGCTGGGGTCTAGTGGGGTCTGGCATCCAGCCGTGTGACTTTAGAACTGGCCCTTCTGGCAGGTCAAGGTCAAGCTGACCAGGCCCTGTGTTCCTTAGCGGGCCTTCGTTGGGCCCTTCCTGTGCCGAAGGAAGCTCAGGGAGACACAGAGGAAAGGACATTGCCAGTGGCCAGGCCCTCGGAGCTTCCTTCCTTAGCCGCCCAAATTCTCCTACAGCCAACCCCCATTTTCCAGCTGCTTAAGACTAATAATGTTCCTTTCTGAAGGTTGGTCTGACACAAGAAGGAGAGTTACAGTCACTCTGATTTTATTCTCAACTGAAAATTTAAGCAAGCTTATCTGAATGATCAAGAGATGTAGGTGTTCTCTGAGGACAGAGGGCATATAAATAAGTTGACTTTAATGATTATTAATTGTAATAAACAATACTCAGGTGATAAGTCAACATTCATGGGTTTAAAAAAACCTACATTTTTGTGCTATTGTGTTTTAAGAAACTGGAAACATTGTGCCAATTGCTCTGAGTTGCTCTTAAGGATGATGTTCATTTGATAAATTCACTGATAGTCTTTTTAAAATAATAGACTTCTGCTTCCTACAACTTTTTATACATGATTTAAAAAGTGCATTCCCAGAAGCTGCTGGTCAGACTCCTTTAGTGATGAAAGCCGAAGATATTTTAAAACTGTGTATGCTTCCTCTGTGCCGTTCATCCGATGAGGAAATTTTTTCCCCTCTCTTTTTCATGAGTACAGACACTTAAGTAGGGGAAGGGATTCTTCTGGGAGTGTTGCAGTGTATGTCTAGATGTGTCACCTGACTGAAGACCAGAGACTTTTTTGTCAAAGGCTTTTGGAAACCCTACTTTGTCCTCACTGGGTTGAATTTTTTAATACTGGTTAGTTGGTTTTTTTGTTCTCACAGTTTCTTGGGAAATGGCTTGAAAGAATTGTTCCAGAGGTCTTTGGAGCTCCTTTGTAGAGTAGATGGGCCATGTGCATGTGGACTGATGGAGGGTGGGGTTATTGGGGATTTCGGGTTCTGGTGCCCATCAGAATGGCTAACAGAGGGGCTCCCACACCCCATTGTTTATTTCCAGTTGCTCAGCGGTGCCTTCATTATGGGTGACCTCTGTGCAGTGCTAATTCCCCCCCAAATTGTCACCTTCTGCCTTTTTAAGATTATGTGCTTAATTTTGGCCAGAAGTTTACTACCATTGGTGCTTCCTGTTACCCTGCAAAGGGAATTCCAGAGCCTGTGTGCATTTAAGCTGCCTAGGCCTTTTTTCTCCTTTGACTGCCTTTCTAACGAGCATCTCGTCTTGGTATGTATTCATGTCCTACCCCTCTTGGAAGTGAAAGACGGTTTTAGTTATAACTAAGAAGGTTGTGACCTTGGGCCAAGACCCCACGTGTCCAGAGAGCACGCTGGGCCCTCCTTAATCAGGTACAGTGCCAATGCCCCTGGATTCATGGCATTCTCTATAGGGTATTCTCCTTAATTTACTAAATCCCTTTGGCCTTGTTCTTAACTGTGTTTCCTGCCATCTTTAATATATTTGTAAAGCCTCAGATATTTTAATCCAGTTTTGCATTTTAGGCAGAAATGCGTTCTCTAATGTTAGACTTGCTTCACAGGACACAGATCTTTTGAATTGATGCTAGCCATTCTAAAGACCTCTCGCTCTTTTTTCTTTTTTTCACCCTTCCTCAGTAAATCATTTGCAGAGGCGTTCATTTTGAAAGGAGGAAATATTTGGCTTTTACCAAAGAGGTGTTCTTTTTTTAAAAGCAAAATCCTTTCAGCAAAAACTTACTTGGGGAAGGGTGGATTAAGAATGCATTTGTCTACATCCACTTCTATAGGTGTTTAATCATATTTATGTGAGTAAAATGTTGGAAGAATTCTTTTTTTTTTTTTAGAAGAATTCTTTAAGGTAATCCTTTGTGGTGAAGGATCCTGGGAAATTCTCTCAGGTAAAGAAAGCTTGTAGCAGATGGGTAATATATGTCTTGAGAGCTATTTATAAGAAATTTAAGGATTGTTTTGTTTTCCTTTATTAAAGATTTAAGGTTTTTTTACTTTGCAAAAAAAAAACTACAAAAGTTTTATAGTCATAACTTTGTTACTTTTTTTTTTAACTTTTCTGAAATAATTAGATGTAGCCAAATTATGTGGTTATGTTTTGCTGTGTTAGAATTTGAAAATGTAATATGTGTGGTAAATCTACTGTTTGAAATTTATAATGCTCTCAGATATGGTTGGAGTTTTGGTAACTTTTAAAATAGTTATTGTTTTTCCTTTAAGTCACAAAGGCAACTATGGATTTATGTTTGTTATCTTGGATGCTAATTTTTCTATGAAGCAGCCGAAGTTGACCAGTCTTTTCCTAGGTAGAATACTCAAAACTTGTTAACTTTAATAAAATTGAAAACTGTTGTTTTTTTCTCCTTCTGTTGAATGCATTTGTAATTAAAGTCTTCCAGGTACTGTTTTCCAAAGATGTCTTCAGGTGTTAATTCGCTCTCTCTTAAGCTTCATAGAGTCTGTTCTGGTTCTAGAGAATGAAAATTCAAACAGGAAAACCCAGGCTTTTTGCCTTCTTTCTCTCTGAAAGCCCCTGCAGCCTGCTTCCTTTTTCTTATTTTTACGATAACGACACTCTGTCTTAAATATGAGAATTAGAGTAAGTCTTTAAACAAGGTAGTGTGAGTTCTCCAACATGGTTCTTCTTTTTCAAGATCTGGCTATTCTAGGCCTTTTGCATTTCCCTCTGAAGTTTGGAATTAAGTTGCCAGTTCCCTTGATTTGGGATGGCATTGAGTCATTAGATCAATTCAGGAAGAATTGACATGATAACAACATTAAGTCTTCTGATGTATGATTGTATCTTTCATTTACATAGGCCTTTTAAATTTTCTTTAGCCGTATTGAATGATCCTTTTGTTTTTATTAAAATATCTTTGTATGGGATTTAATCTTGATACTTCCAATTCTCATTTGTATGTGAGGTTAGTATCCTGATTTTTTTAATAGTATGTGTTGCATAATATAAAACTTACTATCTTAACTGTTTTTTAGTGTGCAGTCAGCAGTGTTAAATACATGTCGACTGGAAAAAAAAAAAGCACAACGTGAGAGTTGTGAGTTATGTTTTATTTGGAGCAAAATGGGGACTATAGCCCAAGAGACAGCATTTCAGATAGCTCCGAGGAACTGTTCCGAAGAGGTGGCGGCGGGGGGTTGGGGGGGAATGTCAGTGTATTAGGAGCAGGCGTCACCATGAAAGATTTTAGTGCTTTTCTAGATATGAGGAGGTGCAAGAATTGGGCTCATAATCTTCTCCTGCAAATATCTAACTATCTGAAGGCCTGTTCTGCCAGTTTTTCCCGGAGCACAGAGTGCCTCACTCCTGATCTCCACCCTGAACTCCTTTCAGGGGGTGTTGAAGGTCAGCGGTCCCAGCAGCTTGTGATTTAATCCTTGTAGAGGCAGGTGGCAGGTGCCAGCCTTGAGTTGGCATACATCTACATTGTTGTGCGGCCAATCTCCAGGATTCTTTTCCTCTGGCAAAGGCCTAACTCTCTACCCATTGAACAGCAACTCTCCGTTCCCCTCTCGCCAGCCCCTGGCAGCCACCACCCACCATCCTACTTTCTACCTCTATGAATTTGCCAATCCCCACCCTCTACCACTTCTTCCCACATAAATGCTGACATTGCTCAGGTCTTCTGGCGTTTGTGTTTTGAGGTTCACCGCTTTTTGTTGTAAGTGTTTTCCATGGGGTTTTTGGTTGTGTTACCCTCTCGCACTGTTTTTGTGTAGGAACTCAGGAAGATCCAAAAACTATGCTTCTGTCATTTCTTCTATTCACTCTTGAATTGAACCGGCTGCAGTAAAGCTTTCACACATACCTTTTTCAGAAAGTGCTTTTCAAAGTCATTGGTAACCTTCATGTTGCTGAATCCATTGTCCTCATCTTACTTGACCTACCAGCACTTGGCAGTATTAACTGTCAACTAAATTACAAACCTTGTTCAGATTTTACTGGTTTTTACATACACTCATCCCCACCTTTTGAAAGGAATTGTCTATTGTATTTATCATGTCCCTGTTCACATTGCCCTTAAGATCATGGGAGGCAAATAACTTGTCTTTTGGGACTTCCCTGGTGGTGCAGTGGTTAAGAATCTGCCTGCCAATGCAGGGGACATGGGTTTGATCCCTGGCCCGGGAAGATCCCACGTGCTGTGGAGCAACTAAGCCTGCGTGCCACAACTACTGAGCCTGCGCTCTAGAGCCCGTGAGCCACAACTACTGAGCCCATGTGCCACAACTACTGAGCCCGTGTGCCACAACTACTGAAACCTGAGCACCTAGAGCCCGTGCTCCGTAACAAGAGAAGCCACTGCAATGAGAAGCCTACACACCGCAACAAAGAGCAGCCCCCACTCGCCTCAACTAGAGAAAGCCCGCGCGCAGCAACGGAGACCCAATGTGGCCAATAAATAAATAAATAAATAAACAAAAAAACTTGTCTTTTTAGTTTTCCAGTCTCTGCACCCACAGAACGACATCCAAGGAACCACCCCTGGAAGCATCATCCACAACAGGACCTGACTTAGTTCTAAGCCCCACCTTCTGGGTCATCCTTCTTTTTCCTTAAAAAAAGGCCTGGGGCTTCCCTGGTGGTGCAGTGGTTGAGAGTCCGCCTGCCGATGCAGGGGACGCGGGTTCGTGCCCTGGTCCGGGAAGATCCCACATGCCGCAGAGCGGCTGGGCCTGTGAGCCATGGCCGCTGAGCCTGCACGTCCGGAGCCTGTGCTCCGCAATGGGAGAGGCCACAACAGTGAGAGGCCCACATAACGCAAAAAAAAAAAAGGCCTGATTTGTAGCTGAATAGTTTGCTCAGCCTGCTTCCTGCCTGTAAGTGGTTGGGAGCCCAGTGGCTTCAGTTTGAACCGTCTCTGTCCCTGTCCCTATTGGTACAAGCTGGTGGTGCTTTTGTTAGTTCAATTCTCTTAAAAACATTGTGTGACTCTTACTGGGATTCACTATGTTAGGTAAAACCATCCCCACCAATCTTTTCCAGATACACTCCCCTCTACTTTGGGCTACAGGTCAGAGTGCTGTGTGACAATACCCTTATTCTTACAGAAGCCCTTTTATCTAGCTGAGATTAGGAGACGCACTAGCCAGGAGGATTTGAGACGCACCTCCTTAAATCTTTGAGGTCATAATAAGAGGCTTTATCTTGACCTTGAGGCTACACTTTATTTGTGGCATCTTAGAAATGATGAGTAGTTAAAAAAATAGTGTTGTTGAAAAAATATTTCATTGAATGTGTTTCAGTGTGTTGTTAAATGAAAAGTAATTTAGAAAACCATATATACAGTGTGATCCAAATCCTGCCTGTGTGAACTCTTAAAGAGAAAATTATTCTCATACTTGTTAAAACAGTAATACTTGGGAATTCCTTGGCAGTCCAGTTGTTAGGACTCGGTGCTTTCACTGCGGGAGCCTGGGTTCAATTCCTGGTCGGGGAACTAAGATCCTGCATGCCCCATGGTGTGGCCAAAAAAAAAACCAAAAAACAAAAAACAATGACAACAACAACAACACAGTAAGACTTTATTCAAGTCCATTCAATAGGAGTTTTGCAATAGGGCAGAGAGATTAGGCTAACTCAATACAAGGACAGTGGGGATTGATAACAAGCAGAGGGAGGGGGTCCAGTAGATGGAAAATTATAAGAGGAGACCTCAGGGGGTGGAGAGATTCTTGCTAAAGGTAGGCCAAGTGTAAGCAGGTAGGGTAGGGGGCCCCCAGAGGAAGAACCAGACTTAGCTTTATTAACATAAGAAGCCATTTTAGGCCTCAGCCGTTTTGTGATCTAAGCCTGGCCACAGTGCTTGCCCTTGCAGAGGGATAGGTCTCAGTAGTCAGTGATATTAAGGGAAAAAAAGAAGGTAAAAACAGTTACTACCAGGACAAGGAGATAACCTAACTTTATCAGAGACAATATATCAGTTGTAAAGACTACCAGTTCTGTTTGAAAGGTAAAGATTACCCTGAAGCACGTTCTTGAGTTGTTTTGCAGAATTCAAACCCCTGGAGTCCTCAACCATCAGATTAACTGGAACCTAAGGGATGATAATGTTGACATTTTCTGACCCTCATGACTTCTGTCAACTAGGGCCTGGACTCTTGTCAACGTTTGTCCCAAGTCTATGCTGAATTCTCTGCTCACACCCCTTAATGAATATGCATATACCACACAAGCCCTTTCATGAATATGCAGGAACCCTTAGCTTAAAGCTTCCCCAAGTTTGCTATTCAGGGAGACACTGCTTTGAGAAAGATCCCTGGTGTTCTCCTTACTGGCTGCAAGTAATAATCAATCCTTCCTTCTCTCAATCTTTGGCTTGGTTGTGTCTTTTGGCTCAACACCCATGAAGAGGCGAACCCAGTTTTTGGGTAACACAAGGACTTATACATCAAAGGTAGAGGGGATGAAGAACTTGGTCAGATATCAAGGGTGGGGAGTTTTGCTAAGACTAGGCTGTGCCACCTGGCAAGGACAGGCTGGATGTGGAAGACTAAGGTTGAGGTCTAGTCAAGAAGAGAGCTCAGAGGAGCCTGACTATTTGGTCAAGGAGAGGGACTTGGTTAGAACACACATGCATGCTTGCGCGCTCAGAGAAAATGCACCCAAAGTGTTCACACTGTTTTGTCTTCATAGCAGCACCTCCGCTCTGTGTTTCCCTCTCCACATTTTGGGAACTGTTCTCATGCCTGTAGCAGGAGCAGCTATTTTCTTTCCACATAATTGTCATAGCTACAGTTAATTGATTGAGGAATGGACTTCCCATTTAAGTTGGGCAATCAGCCTCTCTGGAAATTTGGACTTGAAACAAGGAGTTGGGAAACTTAAAAGATGTTGCTAGTGACTAGTTAGAACACAGGGAGAAAGCCAATTTGCAGGAAGATCTAGGATTAAAATGGATGTGTAGAGGGGTAGTTGTGAAAGAGAGAAGGGGTGGGGCAGAGAGAGAGAATGGACTTCTGGATTTCTTAGGGTGTTCTTAATGTTCCCCACTTGAATTCTGTTCTGGAACCCCAGCTTGAAATAATAATGATAGCTCTTATTCACTGAGCACTTGATGTATGCCTGGTACAATTCTCACAATGATCCTGTGGAAGTTACTGTTCTAATTCTCATTTTACACGTGAAGGAAAAAGGCGACCTTTTTCTTAAAATCCTTACTAAATGCAATTGTTTTTACAGAGGTTGCCAAATCTCACCTCACCTCACCCATCTTTCCCATCTCCTTTTCTCTTTACCATTCTCCACCTCCCAAGGTTTCCTTTGTAGATCAGTTTTTCCTTTTAGCATATAGAGCTTTCTCTTGGTTTTTCTATTTGCATAAGGATTATATCAGTAAGGACTTGCATTTGAGTAGCACAGTGAACCTCAGTGTCATAAACACCTGGG